GGCTTGGCCCCTTAGTTGCAGTGAAGGGAAGCAGCAGACTGATCTCTGGGGAAGCAGAGACTGAGGAAATGCTTCCTTCTGCCTGCAGCATACTGATGTCTTCCCCCAGCCTAGGCAAATTGACTGACACTGGAAGAGGTAAAAGCAGCACAAGGAGCCAATTTTATTATGTACTGGCAAGGAACATGCTGATCAGAAGAGAGAGCAGAGTGACAGAGAGATGAGCTGCATCTCCTTTCTGTCCAATCACAGGCTGGGGGAGTGGCAAGACCCGCAGGTGTTACTTAACGGCAGCAGAAGAAAAAATCAGGTCTCCTGCACTGCCAGACAGAGCTGTGCTGTATATCAGAGCTGTATAAGCCTCAGGACTGGATGGACATGAATATGAAAAGTAAAACAGTTCCATATACTGTATGTATTTCCGACGTGTATATAGCCGGAGTGTCGCGTTTCTTGAATTTGCCGTTGACGTATCGATGTCACTTGTCCAGTAACAGCGGGGGTACGGACGCAGATGAAAGGACTTTGGTGTGTGTGCAGAGGGATGTATTTGTTCCATTCTGTGTAACATGCTCACCTTGGAGGGGATTAGGAAGGGCTGACTAACCTGTGAAAACGATCCGCGCTTTTCCGCCGTTCGGTTAATCTGCTCCGGCACTGATAAGGCACCTCGCTGCTAGACATTTCAAGAGCCGAGTCACATGACTGTGCGCCTGCCTGAGCCGATCGGAGCGCCAGAAGGAGCCAGACTTATAGAATGTGGAGTAGGTGGAGGTGGGGCAGGTGGAGGTAACCCATGGCGGCCAGATTTTGGAGATGACCTCTAACCGGTTACTTTGTTTCGCAGCGACTGCCGCATGTCATCGCTGCTCAGCTGAATACAATTCATGGCAATGTTCCGGGATGGTGATTGACAGCTGAGCCTGTCAATTATCCGCAAGTATTGTCACTGGAGGCTTACAAAACACGACTGGACATTAATCACGACAATCCCACATTATGTTCCAATTTGCGATTGAGCGTGCGTTATTACGTACATTTCTAAACCACTTGACGCATGTTAAGTTGAGCGGGTTCCTTCATTTTAAATGGGCCCTCAGTGTCCATTGACCAAAATAGAAATGTGACCTTTTTGTCTTCAGCTGCGGCGCTATGAGTTGCATATCCATTAAAGGGAAATTGCCTCCTTTCCGGCCAGGGCATCCAAGTTTGATAAGAGCCCTTAGGAACCTGGGACGCTCTGGTCGGCATCCCGCCCAGCTAACTGGTTGTCAGAAGCTGAGCTGGACGCATTTACTGGCGTCCCGCCCAGCTCACTGATGTCACTGGTTGCCAGAAGCTGAGCTGGACGCATTTACTGGCGTCCCGCCCAGCTCACTGATGTCACTGGTTGTCAGAAGCTGAGCTGGATGCATTTACTGGTGCCCCACCCAGCTCACTGATGTCACTGGTTGTCAGAAGCTGAGCTGGACGCATTTACTGGCGTCCCACCCAGCTCACTGATGTCACTGGTTGCCAGGAGCTGGGCTGGATGCATATACTGGTGTTCCGTCTAGCTCCTGGCAACCAGTGACATCAGTGAGCTGGGCGGGATGCCAGACACAGCCAAAGGCAGAGGTACCACCAGCGCCAACCCTACCCCCCTGGTAACGTGTACTGCCCCCACCCCTGGTAACGTGCACCACCAGCAAACCCGGCAAGCCCCCGCCCTAGCCCCAAGCCTCTTTGTTCATTCAATTTTCCATCCTTCTCCTTCAATTTTTCCGCTCACTATGGTCGTAATTGATGGTCAACTCAACTGTTAGAAAAACGAACAAACGTTCCCGAAAACTAAAGTTTTCAAACATAATTCTATTTGCAGCTTTAGAATTTGTAACAATTTGCTAAATGGGATTGCGGCCTCCAGACTGTCCCCAGATTGGTGAACTGCTCTTCATATCGAGAACAGGCACATAGAGAAAGTCTTATCTCACCTTAGATCCAGGCCACCTTCCAAATTCTAAGCCCAGAAGAAGAGGGAGTTCTAAGTTCCCTGAAACTCATTGTTTTATTTTAATGATGTTTCAACCACTAAAAGGATCACATTTGGACCATTTGCGTCTGAAATACTTTTCTTTGACGCTCCAACACCACAACACGTAGAGATAAATTCATCATGGAGATCAAGTTAAGGAAATTGACTTGGTCCACCTGCTCCATCTGGCCACACAGGGTCACATTCCTGAACACTACATATCATTTTCATGGACTAGAAGCGACGTAGCCCAGCTTGTATTGTTGGATTCAGAACAAAGTCACCCTTGGCATTATGAGGGATACTCACTGTTTGGGTTGACATTCTCGCAGAGCTCTGTCTTGGCTTCCCCGTTGGGCCGGTCACTGGGCTTGTGTGACAAACGCGATGACATTGTGGCTGCCGTCACCACCGCCTTAAAGCTGCGCTTGCGTTTCTGGACATTCAGCTCCGGGTGGAAGATGATGATGTACACCTTGGGCATGTAGAGCATCCCCAGAGCCACCGAGGCACTAAGATTCATGGAGATGGTGAGCGTGGTGGTCTGGATGTAGAGCTGCAAGAGAAAGGAGGGAACAAGTCAGGGAAAGTTGAAAACACACAATCTCAGCCATTCATTGCACCTCCAGAGAATTCAAATACAACTATAAGTGTGGCTGAACTTAAAAATGATTGATCTTGGCTTAGAGACACTGAAACATGGAGGATTCCAGAAGAGTGGCACCTGCATTTCCATAACAGTTACACACTGACACTTGGGGATCCCAGAACAAGGACACTTTGGCACCTTAAATCCCAGAACAACAACACACTGAAACTTCAGGGTGCGGGGGGCAGAACAACGATAGACTGGCACTTGGAGGACCCAGGACAAAGATACAGTGATGCAAGGCAATGACACACTGACACTTGGGGGTCCCAGAACAATGACACACTGACACTTGGGGATCCCAGAACAATGACACACTGACACTTGGGGATCCCAGAACAATGACACACTGACACTTGGGGGTCCTAGAACAATGACACACTGACACTTGGGGATCCCAGAATAATAACATACTGACACTTGGGGATCCCAGAACAAAGACACACTGACACTTGGGGATCCCAGAACAATGACACACTGACACTTGGGGGTCCAGAACAATGACACGCTGACACTTGGGGGTCCCAGAACAATGACACGCTGACACTTGGGGTTGCAGAACAATGACACTTGGGGGCTCCAGGAGTATGATGCATTGATATTTTGAGAACAATGCCACTGACATACTGCGGGGTCCCAGAACATTGCCACATACTGATGTCATCTACACAGTTGGGTTCGGCAAATAATTATTTCTAGTCAGTGATCTCAGTAAATGCGGAAGATACAGAAGAGGAAAGTAATGAAGATGATTTCATAGGAAACATTATGAAAGTTCCGCCTAGTAGAAGAGAACATTATCCTTCATGATGACGGGCAATTATCTATGTTATTTTTGTTATGACAGACATCCCCACATCGTCCAAGGATCGATCTGCCATGCGGTGGGTCTACCTCCGCCCCTTTAATGGAGAAGAGCTGTCAATCAAAGTCATGTCAAGCATGCGATAATGATGTCGTTCGGCCGCCTGACACATCCTTGTTAATCAGAGGCCGGTTATTAGTCAGGGATAAACTTTGAAAGATGGAGGTTTGTTATAACCCGCGGATTGACATGTCGAAGGATGACATGCTCAGCCACAACCCGCTAATGGATTTCTCAGCTTGTTACATCGCGACTGCCAGGAACGGAAAGTCGGAGCAAAGGCCATTTATAATGTATCGTTAGGAGTAAATAATGAGGTGATTCTACAACTTCCATCCCATAATACACAGGTGGGAAGGAGAACCTTATTCTTGATTGGAAGTTTAAATAATTAAACACTTATCAACCCCAAACCCATCCCAAACTTTTTTCTTCTTAGTTTTGAACAACCCGAGGAAGGGATGAAACCTTTGCCATGTTTTGCTTGTGTCCCCATTGGGGAAATTTCTCCTCACTTCCTGTCCAGGAACGAAACAGAACAGGACTAATGGCATTGGACATCATTTAATTCTGCTGGCTTGCATACCACAGGAGTCCGCAGAGGGCAGCCCCACAGTGGAGGTGAGTGTTGCAGCAAGATCTGCTTTTTTTTAATTTGTACAAATTGTGAATTGCTGATTAAAAAATACTAATAAATAAAACTACACACTCAAGTTGAAGTTTAATTTTCCTAAATGTTTCCTTCCCTGGTTCCTCCCTTCCCCTATCATCCATGTGATGATTACATAACACGTCTCTGTTTTCATTTCATACTTTATTGTAGTCTCCGTGTCATCATTGGGTCTCCGTGCTGCTCTATGCAATTCAGGGGGGGTCATAGCTAGTGGGAGGGGCTGGCAGAGGGCTGTACATAGCTTCCTGAAAACATCACAGCCCCTTGCCTCAGTACTTCTCTCAAGAGCCCTCAGCTCTGATGCAAGCAGTGGGCTGGCTCTTGGGAGGAGTTATGCAAATATCTAAATGCCTTGATAGGTACATGCCAGTCTGGAGGAGTGGACTTTCCTAGGCAGGCTGTGTTTGCATAAGTGATGGCCATATGTGATGCCGAGCCTCCATGATTGAAAGAACTGAAATCCAATGAATGAAAGGGGCGGGGCCAGGGACAGTCGGGCTGGGCAGGAAAGTTTTAGATGATGCTGGACAACCTCCAGTCAGGAAATGAGGTGGGCTCTATATGACTTGCTGCAGCTTCCAATGCACATTGTGTAGTGAAATCAGAGGATGCAATTTCAGTCCAGGACTGAAGGGAAGGACGGAGGTCCGATATAAGACTGAAGGGAAGGACGGAGGTCAGATAGAAGACTGAAGGGAAGGACGGAGGTCAGATAGAAGAATAAAGGGAAGGGCAGAGGTCAGATAGAAAACTGAAGGGAAGGACGGAGGTCAGATATAAGAGTGAAGGGGAGGACGGAGTTCAGATAGAAGACTGAAGGGAAGGACGGAGGTCAGATATAAGACTGAAGGGGAGGACGGAGGTCAGATATAAGACTGAAGGGGAGGACGGAGGTCAGATAGAAGACTGAAGGGAAGGAAGGAGGTCAGATAGAAGAGTGAAGGGAAGGCCCGGAGGTCAGATATAGGAGTGAAGGGAAGGACGGAGGTCAGATAGAAGAGTGAAGGGAAGGACGGAGGTCAGATAGAAGAGTGAAGGAGAGGACGGAGTTCAGATAGAAGACTGAAGGGAAGGACGGAGGTCAGATATAAGACTGAAGGGGAGGACGGAGGTCAGATATAAGACTGAAGGGGAGGACGGAGGTCAGATAGAAGACTGAAGGGAAGGAAGGAGGTCAGATAGAAGAGTGAAGGGAAGGACGGAGATCAGATATAAGACTGAAGGGGAGGACGGAGGTCAGATATAAGACTGAAGGGGAGGACGGAGGTCAGGTTTAATAATTTTATGAATAGTTCTCGGGGTTGATTTTACTTTTACTAAACAAGTTACTTTATCCGATTAGTGACCTGCGGTTCATTCCCGGGACTCCGGACGGTCTCATATTGTGTCGCCCTCTCGGAGTTGTACGGAGAGCGAGGTTTCTCTGCAGCTGAATTGAATGCGGCCTCTAAGATCCTCTCATCCTCCCTCTTCCCCCGGAATTACTGAAGATTGATTTTATTTTTATGCCGCTCTGGCCGCGTCTTCCCTTTCGGACTGAACAGATATCTCGATAAAAGGATATAAAGTAAAATGAAAACCCTCTGCCGGCTCCGGCACTCTCTGTACTCGGCAGTAAAGCTGCGGAAGGCACACAATTTTCTGGATCTACTAAATGCTGGAAATATAAGACGGAGGAGGAGACCGCACAATCACTGCTGGCAGTACACTCATCGGTCATATACAAACATAAAAGGGCTCATCACCAATTCTACTATCTGAACAGATTGAAACTTCAACCATCGCCTCATTGATTCCCTGGCAAGAAATGGAAGAAGATTGCCTCCGCTCTACGTTGTCTTTCCACCTTCTACAACAATTGTGGTTGAGAAGTCTTCCCAAGATCTCATGCCCCAAAACAGGCTCATTGAGTATAGCAGATGACCTCTGATCCCCTCTCATTAAAAGAATGTACTAGAAAAAAAAAATCTTTTTACCAGGTGTGATAGTTTGGGGAATATAGCACAATGGTGAGCGCTAAGTGACCACTCCTGAAGCCGACTTTAACATAAAAGGACAGTCTTTATTCAGCATAAATTAGGCATAACAGTTCATTCAGGAGTCTCATCAAGACATTGTGTTTGGTCTCACCGACATCTGTCTGTCCCATACACTCCCCGTGTGATAGTCCCGTATTTCTCTGTGAATACAGTCCTCAGCACTGCTCAGCAGCTTTCCTCAGCTCCAAGCGGTTCAGTATCCTCCCCTCGTGGGTTACTGTCCCTCTCTGTCTCCCCGACAGGTATCTCAGGGTCACCGACCCTCTGGACCTCTCCAGCCTTCCTGGTTGTGTCCCTTGTGCTCACGCACGCAGCAGAGTCTGCCTGTTGTCGTGTGTCTCTTGCACACCCACAACTCTCCTCTAAAGCACTGGGCTGGCTTCCTACTAAGGCTGCTCTCAGCCACCTGTTCAGCTCAACCTGGCCACTGGCAACACCTGGCCCCAGGACTGGAGATCCCATCCCACTATAGTCTGGAAAACCTGGAAGGTACTGAGCAGCCAGTTCCTCCTCTCCAAAGGTATTCACATTGTGGAACCGCTCAGCCCCTCTGGCTAAGAGTCCTGGGCGCCAAAGTTCCCATACTACATCATGGCATTGCCATGCACTGCCACACAGGATAGTCTCTCTGCCATCACCAATAGAATGGTAACATACAGGGTGAGCGATGGAAGTTGGACGTCTTTAGAAGAGTTAGTACATGGTAAGTGGTGATGGGAGGGGGACGAGCTAGGTGTCTTTCCCCCCACACTGGAATGCCAATTCAGTCACAATGAAGCAGTGGACGTTACAACATCGTTTGCTTACGACAGCTTTGTTCCAGGTGGTGAGTCTATCGCAGCAACGCAGCAGCTATTTCGTCGATAATTCAATGTTGGTCGACACTGGGCCGTTCTCAGTCCCAGGTGGGTTGAACATTTCTGAACAACCGGAAACATTATGAATGAGAACCCACCAGGCCCCGTCCGCACTGCAAGGACGCAAGGACGCCAGAAAAACATTGCATGGGTGAGAGAGGCACTGGTTAGGAGTCCGGGCCGGTCTACTTGAAGACATGCAAGTGAGTTAGGGTTGAGTCGTGAATCGGCGAGAACCATTTTACATAGAGAGAGATTTAAGATTCCATCCATACAAAATGCTGGTTGTTAACTCGGAACGTTACATGCACACACTGAACAACTTCTTACGACCAGAACTGCGAAGACGTCAAATAAACATGAGAAATGTTTATTTCCAGCAGGATGGTGCCACATGGAAGTTCTTTGAATTATCTTCCCTGAGCGCCTCATTTCATGTTTCGGCAATGTGCCATGGCCCCCAAGGTCTCCTG